GGTACTTATATACATGTTTATAATGCAGGTTAGATTATTTCACACATGCCATGACATGCCCAGTTCTTCAAAGTGATATTGCAATCTCACTGTGCTATATTTATTGACACCTGTGCCTCCTCTAACTACAGCCCACTCTTTTACATGTCCACTCTTTGTCAGTGCTCCAATCAAGAATTTAGCACTTAACATTGTAGTCGTCAATTGTGATGTGCCCTGGCATGTGGTTATGCAATTATAATAGTTATGTGTATCGACAATGCCTTGCCGATTTGTTTGCACTGCTACTGCAATTCGTGACTGTGCAGGATCTAGCAACTACTGTGGCATTCTTCCCAGCCCCGTGAACCATATAGGTTATGCTGACTAACCTGTGAGAAAATCAGTGCATGATGTTCAGCAATGGACCACTATGTACTACTGCACTTGCTACGTATGTTATGAACAACCTTTCTTGTGAATTATGCATAATGAAGCTGATGGTGCCGCTCCCCTCTTGCAAGCTGGACTAGTTTACATCATCGACTAAAGTTTTGTCCTAAGACATAGAGAGTGTAGCTACTAGTGAGAGTCATATCGACTGCCAGTGTAGCTACGTTCATTCCAGATGCAGGTTTGCAGCACCAGAAGAGATAAAAACTCAGGCCGCACCATACATGTGTAGACTAAGGTCCCTCTATCACACCGCCATGCAGCCGAGGTCGCTATGCTTCTGCAGGTGTTACCATAGGCTCATATATATTGTGTCCTGTCATATTTTTATGCATACACACAGCTGCATATTGGGCAGTTGTCTGATAGAGGAACGGACTCGCTAGAATAGAGTTGTGAATCCAACATCTGGGGAATTCCCGAGACTACATACAGCTGTGTGGCATCTGACACTGTAACTATGAAGTCCATGTCATTGGGAACTATGAGAGCAGTAATGGCAGACATGGGTTCTTTACTGAGAGAGTAGCAGTGGACACAGACGTGATAGTCAGTGGTCCTCTGGAGAGAGTCTCTTGCCTCCTCATACTAGTTTTTGACATCATATGAGCCAGTGAGGTGGAACTGAGTGTCACTAATGGAATCACCATCGACAAGAGTCATCTGTAAATAGCTAACATCAAATAAAATAAAAATTTTACTACTCCTTCCGTTGATGTAAACTTTGCATACACTGCTATCTTGTTTTGAGCACGCATATATGACAGGTAAATAACAGCTCACCTTTACTTACATACTACTTAAGAGAAAGAGTATGCTGAACGTGGCGGTTTAGCATGCTAAGCAGTGTCATGCCATCACTTTGTATGTATTGGCCCACCAGGTAAAAAACCACCAAGACGCATGCCAATACTAAGTTATTACATGTAAATAACAGCTCGCGCTTTACTTTACATGCACTTATCAGCTAGCTTTTGCACCAAAAAACATGTGTATCTCTAGTTTATGACTTGTACTAGAGTTCCTACTACAACAGCACAGTCAGCTCAAGCCCTGCTAGTCTATCAGACTCACTGAAATCCTAAGCCGCTCAGAGGGAATCAGGGGTATGGATCCGATATAGGAGGTGGAAAGAACTGCAGACTACTGTTGTACCTTCAAGGGAGTTTGGTCCTGTAACATCATCAGTGGTAGCTACAGAGCAAGTCGATGGGAGCTCAACATCAAGAGGAGAGCAGGTTTGTATAAATTTTTTTGGGATTTGTACCTTAGTGCAGTAGCTATCTTATGTACATAGAATGTGGTTGGGCCAGTACGGCCTGCACAACCTCTCCCCTCGCCAGCAAATGGAAGAGTGGATATCTCCATTTGGAGCCAGAGACCTACAGTCAATACAGTTGTAATGTCGGGTTTCAGCTCTCAGGGAACAGAGTAAGGACCTGTCTGGAATCAGGACTATGGTCTGGCAGGCACCAATTGCAACCAAACACTTGTGTCCCTCCTCTCTCTCCTCCTTCCATGGAAAAGTGATGTTTTCTGACACAAGACCTTCTCAGTGCCGCCTTACAACATGTGGACTCAGGATTTGGTCTTGTTGGCCAGTCTGTACGCACCTGTGGACAGTCTGGAAGCTGGTCGCGAGAACCACTCCAGTCTGTGTTTTGCCTCTGTGTCGTATAGACTCAAGCCTCCCAAATCAGCAACACCTCAACTTCACGTCTTCTTCCAGTGTACGACATGTAGCTCTCTGTTGTGTTTCCATGGATGTTAAGTATGTTTTTTCTTTCTACGCCCTATCCCAGTGTTAGCATAGGTGTGGGGCAATGCTGTTTTGGTGCTCGTCGGGACGTCGTTCTAGTGTAGCAAGAGTGGGGTTTTCCTCTACACCGGCACCGTAGCCTCTCGAGAGTCCTCACACAGTCGGTCGTCACCTGGGTCCAGTGCCCCACTATTCCAGCTCATGAGACAACGATCTCCCACCCTCCTCTCTCCAACCCTCTCTCTCAACTGAGACTAAGTTGGGCAGAGAAGCCCACATTCTCAGCCGTGTCTGACAATGCCGCCTGACTATCACCAGGCGTCCATCTTCCCTCGGCTGACTCCCCTCCTTCTCTTATTCTTCCAAGGAGATTATAACACGATGACTATTATGGGACCATTAACCATAATATACACACAGATGTACAATATTTTTCGCATGGTATTTCTCACACACAACTAAATTATTGTGGTCTGTCATGATCTTCAGGCTATTCATCTAATTTTAAGAATGATGTCCGAGTCTCTTTCTTCAGAACATCTGAAGCATGTAAAAAAGGATTTGTCCGTGTATCCAAAAGTATCTACTTTAGTATTGCTTTTATTCAAGATTATCGACAATGCATAAATATTCAGGCGATGAAGGCCCATTGACTGAGCGCCCCGCAAGTCTCGCGTAACAACCGCGCAACTCTGGCAATTTGCTCTTCGTGCCCATCGACAGCAAGTTAGCCATTTGAAGTGTGCACACTTACTTACAGATGGTACTGGAGGTGAGATTTTCTCTGCAGTCTGCCACCTCGCCTTGTAATACGCTCGCAGCGCATTGGACAACGCCCCTGCCTTGCGCATGCGCGAGGCTCACTGATGCAGCAAATGGCGTTGTTCATGTCGACCATGGAAAGCTCCATGAAGGCCTGGAGTGATTCTCACTGAGTTTCTAGTCGTTTTGTACGCGGATCACTGAGATTTCACCCGTGTCATCCCTATATAGATAGAACCGACTCTCTAAAAAAGAGTCGGTTCTATATAGTGAACGCGGGTGAAATCTCACGTGATCCGCGTACAAAACGATTCGAGAAACTCAGTGAGAATCACTCCCTAGGCCCCCTTTAAAACATACTAGCAATATCTACGGCCCCTATCTTACCTATATGTCCCCCAGACCTCAGACCGCCTTCAGTCCCACCGCGAGAATGGGCTCATACCTATTTCATTTCACAATTTTCCTTCTTCTTCAGACCCCGTTTTCTCCTTGCTAGAACAGTTTTGAAGCCGCTTTTTTGTTCCCTGAAGGGTCCTCCCAATTTTTCGTCGGAGGTTGCACGACATCCAGCGATCGTTTCTTTTTTCTTGCCGCAAGTCACTATGGTTAGATCTTCCGAATTCATGGTCGACACACTCTCTCAGCATCAGTGAGCCGCGCGCATGCGCTGGCAGGGACCGTTTGTCCAATGCGCTGTGCGCGCGCGTATATATGACCGGGCGGGTTTGACTGACCTGCAGAGGACCTCTCAGCCTCATGGCCTTCTGCAATTAAGTGTGCACATTTCCAACTGGCTAGCTTGCTGGCTTCATACAAACAAAAGTAAGGTTTTTTTTTCTCTTTTAGAAGATATAAAATGAAACTTTTCAAAAAGATTGGAATCCGTGGACCCGAATGCAAGAGCGTTTTTTTAATTTGTTTTTGTACACAACAAACAAAAACAGAAAATACCCTAGGCCATACATTTCTGATATAGACCAATACAGGTTGTGGCTAGTAGTAGACACAACACACAGCCAGCCTCAGGCAATAAAACTTGTTAAATAGTGTTTGTTGCCTATAATACCAGTTTTTAACCCCTGCTCCTCTCCCATGTAAATTACAAACTTTAATTGGGGCTCTTTGGGCCTTCCTCATACGAAGGAACGCCGCATGGTAATCTACTATGTAGCCTATATAACCCGTGTCATACCCTAAGCAGCACTTCTATCAGGAGACCCACAACGCCGAGGGGGTGCACATTTAGTACTTTTCGTTTTGTTTTCCCTCACACCCGCGAAAAAACAAATATTTATTTAAACAATGGATTCTGCATAATATTTATAATACAACAATTCCCTTTGGAGCTACCAATAAAATAGACGTCATTTTGACAAAGATAGGAATAACATGGTTTATATTGTTTAATGAAATTGTTGTGGTAAAAGAAATATCTATGCATATTTTTTGAGTTAAGTAACCAATAATTGAAAATCCTACCCACTAATACAATATTTAATCTATAAAAAATAATTGTCATGAGCTCAGCAACCCAAAGTGGTCCCCTTAGGGCTCTGGCAAGTCATAGTGCCTTTTTTCCCATCTATAAAACAGTATAAATAATAATTTTAGCTATTGGTGGTACCTACCTATTAAAACACCCCAAGAAACTATTTTGCATGCAATAAAACTACTATGCTTCGCGTTCAAAGAGAATGAAAAACAACCACAGTGAAGTGTTAAAAAATTTATTAGTGCCTTTTTGTACATACCTTAGTCTAAAACATTTATCTGATCCTGAACCTTTAATGCGAAATCTGTCACACATCAACTCGTCTTTCAGTGCTGTGCTGCCATGTGGAAGTGCAGTCCCAGCCATCCTAAAGTATTTTAAATCACATCATGCACCCGTGTGCAGCATTAGATCATATCCTGTGTGTGTGTAAGCATCTGCCTAGCTCAGAGTAACATCATTAATATCTCAGTCCTTTCCACTGATTGCTGCTGTCCCCATTAGAGGTGTCCCCTTCCATTCTGATAAGAACATTCCTATACAAAATGGGTTAGCTATAAGATACCTGACATTTATAAAGTGGGATATAGCAGTAAGAAGGAAAAAGTACACTGCAAAGAAAACTACATGGTAGGATTCCTATAAATTATCTTCCACATAATTATTGGATTGTGTTTTTACTCTGTAACAAGCCCTTTTTTCCTTTATGTGCTTTCAGCCATCCTAGTATCCTACTTCATTCCTTAAACTGATTTCCAACTATTATTATACAGGGCACTTTGTCACTGTGATGTGTTTACAGATGTGAAGATCCCTCTAATAAATCAATGAGACCTGCATTGGTCGTTACTTGTGCTGCATTCTGGTACATACCATATATTTGATATTTACATCAGCAAAATTCTCAGTTAAAAGCCTGACACTGGTACCATCTCCTCTCCAAATAGCAAGGTCTAGAGCAGTGTTGCCATCCTGTGTGTCGACATTAAAACATCATCATGCATCCTAGAAAAAGGGATACCTCTGTGCACACATTAGTATTAGCTTCTGCTTCCATAAGGAGTCTTAAAACTTCAACGTTGCCACCCTGAGCTGCCAGATGAAGAGCTGTCCACCCTTCCTGTCAGTGCAATTACATAGATATAGAATTTGACTGTGTAGCTGCTTAGATACCCATTGGCTACCTGATTTTGTGCATCAGTATCCGCATTAGCCCAAATTAGCTTGTGTACAATATCAGCTTTTCCCTCAAATGATGCTACCATTAGTGGAGTCCATCCTCTCTGAAAATTGATTTTTATATAAAATGAAAAAGCAAACAGCAAAACATTGAAGCTTAGGCTAGGTTCACAATAATATTATGTCACATTGCCCTGTTGCGCCATGCCGCGAGGATATATAGAATCCATTTCTATCTTCACGGCAGTATGCGACATGGCACGGCGTGCAGGACAATGTGACATATAATTTATAGTGAACCTAGCATTAGTGATTATATTTTGTGAACAGAATCACATTCAGACTTGAACCCTTTTTCTCTCACTGACTTAAAATCATTATACAATGGTAATTATAATTAACTTTCCTTTTGAGGTAGGTGTGAGTTGTGGTGGTTAACATTCTCTTTTGGGGTGCATCAAAAGTGCCGCCAGTTACTCACATAGTTGCCAACTTTTGGAATGGTTAGTAGTATAATGTTTTGCTGTGTTTTGGAGCATTATAATTTGGCACTACAGCGATGCTTAACGCAAGAAAATTGTTGGAGCAGCATGTTTCACCGTTTCCGCTAGTTACTTAAAGAGAATACTTATAACTGGTTTTTACCTTGTTGCATATTTCGACATCTGCTTGTTTATGAAGGAGCAATGTAACAATTGATTCATATCCTTTCATACTTGCCAAGAAGAGTGCAGTAATTCCCTCCTGTCATGGGTATTAAAACCCCGTTTAATGCACCATACAAGATATTAGCAGAGTGTTACACATCACTGTGATACGTTCATTACTGTGATTAACAGTGTACTAGCTATGTAGTGTACCTCTGTTTGCAAGTTGACCTGAGCTCCACCTTCAGTCAGTAGTTGTACAACATCAAAATTTTCTTGTTGGGCTGCCAGATGAAGAGCAGTCCAGCCATTCTGTAACATAATTTATCCAGTACAACAGGAGCAGTCCAGAGATCAAGCAATTGCATAATGTTGTTTCACTACTATGAATGGCTTTCCTTCAAGCCCCTCCAACATACATGTACAATTTTGCTCTTAAAAGCACACCTTTCACATACATTTTGCTATAGGCAGGACAGCTCCTATGCTTTCATGCCCTCCTCTATTAATCTGTGTATAAAGAGCATACCATATCCTGTGTGTCTATGTTGGCATCTGCTCCCATTAGCAGTTCCACAATTTTATAATGTCCTGTGAATGCTAGCTATCATGAGGGGGGTCAATCCATTCTGAAAGTAGAAGGGAATTTCAAAATGTATAAGTTGTATAGAATGCTTGATTGGTGACCAACGAACAGTATCTATTGCTCTATTATATCCAGTGTACAACATCCATGGCAAATATTGAGACAGACATTTCTACGTTGTACTTCCCCCTAACTTATACAGTTGAGTCAAAAAGTATATACCTTTTTGCATAGGTTGACATCCACTCGATTTTTAAGCAGCAATGCGACAATTTCTTCATTTCCTTTCTTACTTGCAATGAAGAGCGCAGTAGTACCATTCTAGGTTGAGGAAACTATAATTAATATCACACATGTGCGTTTTCAAACAGGAGTTAAGAATACGTTTTTGGGAGCGAAGCGAGAAGTTAAAATTTTCACGCGTTTTGCGCGTAATTAGAACCACGTAAAACATTACGATATGTGCAGTGTGGCAGTGCGGGTCACAACAAGGAATATACATAATACAGAAAAAATCTCGCATTCAGACGACTAAATTGCCTTTTGCTTGCCAATTGTTCCCAGCCAGGTTTTGCATTAATGCATATGAATACTGCTTGTTTTATATCATTCAGTATCTGACAAACGAACTTAAAAATTCGTCATGTCAGTTTGAGCCAAGGAATTAGTCAATAATGCTACCATTTCACTGTGGCCCTCGTTGCATGCAAGGTGAAGGGCAGTCCAGCCATCCTACAAGAATAGTTAAAACTGATCATATACAGTAGGTGGTGTTGGAAATTTATTATACCTTTGTCTGCTGCTTACATTTGCCTTAGCTTCGATTAGCATGCGCACAACACCTTTGTGTCCATGACATGATGCTATCATAAGTGGAGTCAAACCTCTCTGGATGGAGAAAGAAAAGTTGTATAAATAGCTAGTAACTCATAGTAAAAACCTTGTCACAAATACGATGGTCTGCACCATGTTGAAGAAGAAGACTTACAACATCAGTATGTCCTTCTTTACTCACTAAGCAAAGAGCAGTACTGCTATCCTACAACAATAGAGGTATATAACGGATTACACTCCTATGAAACTAGTCTACTCTGCGCAAGCGGATTCTGTTGTGCAGGCCAAATGGGGCATGTCCGATGTAGCCTCACAGTGGTACTGGCAAAGCCTTGTGGGGATGAATCTCATTAGTCCAAAACCACAAGTGCTGCGCTCAACTTAGCCTTTATAAACTCGTGGTGCCAGAGAGAGAAGTTGTGGTATGCTCTGCTGATGAGGGCCAACAAGCCCGAAACAGCTGTCCAGAGCTCCCCATCTTTTTTCTCTTGGCATCACATGGTGTATTTTTCACGTGCATAATTAGCTTGTTTTCACGCCATAATTATCTCTCGTTTCAGCAAATCGCCATTTTCGGGTTGGTGTAGTTCTGAAGCCGTTGGTATCGCTCATGGGCCGACCTCGTAATGTGTAGTTCCAGAGTAAGAGTCGACAGACAGACGGACAGACAGACAGAATGACTACTGTAACCCTCGGGTGTACATTCGCAGCAGGAATAATTTGTATGTATGTATGTATGTATGTATGTATGTGTTGCAGTGCCCAGACAGGACAGCATGAGCCCTGTTACATACATACGTACATACGCACATACATACGTACGAGTTTACTGTGCCACAGCACAGTGGTTGGAGGTTTGTCTTGTGTTGTGTTGTGTTGTAGATTCGAACCCCTACCAGCTCAGTTGGTAGAGCGCTCGCCTAGACTGTAGAGTGTCGTGAGTTCGAATCCCACCTAGGGCAGCTCTTTGGGAAAAAAGAGCTGTCCTATGTGTAGTTGATTGGTTTGTTGTGCCTTTGCCTTTCTACCTCATAGTTTTCACATACGTACATACGTACATACATACATACATACACATTACTCCTGCTGCTAATGAGTGGGGTCATGATGTTACTGAGCTTCAGTTAACACTCTTAATACATCAAACAAAGTTTACCTCATTTTGCGTATTGATTGTTTGTGTTCTTGCCTCAATTAGAGTCTTGACGACCTCAACATATCCCTTGCATGATGCTGCCATTAGCGGTGTCCAGCCATTCTAAATGGCATAATAAAAACACTCCTTTACATTGCATTACAGCGAGGAATATTTTATAATACCTCGCTGCAGATATCAACATCTGCATGGTGTAAAAGCAGTAGTTCTACTACAGATCTGTGGCCTTTTTCACTTGCAATGAAGAGAGCAGTCTGGCGATCCTACAGAGATAAAATTAAAATGTTCCTTTTGCTAAACTTATTCTGTGTGTTGATTGGTATACTGCTTGCAGAATGTACATTTTACCTTAGTCTTTATGTCAACGTGAGCTAGAGCCTCAGTTATTACTCTAACCACATCAGCTCTACCATGTTGTGCGGCCAAATGAAGTGCACTGAAGCCATCCTGCACATGAACAATAGTCATTCTATTATTCATGATATTAGGATCCGATTTCAAATACCTCATTTTGTTTGTTAATGCTGTTTGTTCTTGCCTCAACCAGCATCTTGACAATGTCAACATATCCCTCAATTGATGCTACCATTAGTGGTGTCCTGCCATTCTGCATGGCAAAGAGGAAATAATTTTCCTGTACAAAGAATTGTTATCGTAGCTATATACCTTGTTGCAGATATCAACATCTGCAAAGTGTAAAAGAAGCAGTTCTACTACAGATCTATGCCCTTTTGAACTAGCAATGAAGAGAGCAGTCCGGCCATCCTACAGAATGATTAGATTGAAATAAGTGTGCAACAATCTACGTAATTGCTCAAACACCTCTTTCTGTGTGTTGATGGGTACTCCAGCTTCAAGTAGTATTTGCACAACCTCTGTATGGCCGTCAAAAGATGCAGCCATAAGAGGAGTCCAATCGCCCTACGAGAATTCATTATTTTTAGTATAATGTGTGTGTTGGGTTTTGGGGAAGAAAAAGGAAGATAGTCCTAGTGTCTGACAGGCGTGTGCCAACCTCACCGCATTGTGGCTGCCTGGTGTGTTAATCATTAGACCTCTAAAGAAGAGTAGGACACGTATGCCCAGCCTTTGCAACTGGGGATAGTGGGTTATGGCATGCCAACTCTCCCCACACATCCAATATTACAGACGCTCGTGCACAATCAACCACTTAATGGTGAGCAAAGCGAGTCATTTGAATGCAGGAATTTTCAACGTATATAATTTTTTCTTAAAATTATGTGACAGGCACTGCACTGACACTGCACTACTGTACTGCACTACGTGATTCTAGAAACACAAGCGAAATATTGAACTCGACAATGAACTGTTTGTGCTCGCTAGCCAACGTTCATTCTAGTATATATACAGTACGTATTGAAGTAGTTACAATCACATACATTGGAACTCTCTGGGGAATTACAATCCTATGGTTATACTAAAGCACAATTGGATATTTATAGAAGGGAGTTGTGATGTCATAGGCATGAAATATCTTAAGGGGAAGTGGGTTTGATACTCTAGGGTCCTGCAGGGTCTCTAGTTAGAATCATTATGTGTACATATGTGTGTATGTACAATGTATGAGTGTATACTTTGGTGCAGAGAGCGATGTCAGCATATTTCTTGAGCAGTATTTTCATAACTGCTGCATGTCCTTTTCTGATAGCAATGTAGAGTGGAGTCTGCCCATCCTGAAGGTAAAAAAACAATAGGTGATCCGATCCAAGGACACAGATATCCTCTGAGCTACATACATAAATGCAATGATATTGGCTAATACGAGTAACGTTCCTCCAATTTGGATAGGCAGTCAAAACAGGGCTGTAGGAACTGTATATTCACGCTAAGCTCAACATGCACTCTTAATATTTACATTCGCTATTGTACCAAGAGTGTTTTGCATTATTAGTAATCACAGCCTTTAGTTAATTTACTTTCACTTTCTATAGCTATCAAGGAGAAAACAAAAAAATCCCTGGGTCCATAAAGATTCTCAGGTGGCAGCCATAGCTACAGAACAATAGACAAGGTAACCAGAGTGATGAGTGGAAACAATTCTACACAAACATTTGTTACTGCTGGTGTCTGAATTACCTGGCTACGTACACCCTAGCAATCCCCTCCATCAGCAACACCGCAGTTCCCCGGAGACTTAATGCTAAGATTATCACCATAATATTACTAACCTTTCTTAGCTACTAACCAATTATGGGGTCAAGCAGATAAACATGAATCCTCTATCGACTGTGCAACACAAACCTTATACTATCATTGACAAGGGTCCCCAAGCTTCCCCAAGTTAACTGTTCCTAAGGCTACTACACTCATAAACCACGACGTTAACACTCCTCATCACAAAACAGGAATTCCTTCGTCCTTTCCCTCGCTCTGTTCCTACACAGCCCCGGAATCAGTGCACACGTGTGCCTGACTGAATATTAAACTAGCCTGGCATCACTGCCCCACCATCCAAATACTTTCACGCTCACAAACGCTTACTGTGTCTTTCCCTCCAAGGTCAGCTTCTCAACAGTCATTGGAGAACGCTGTGATGAAAAACTGAATCTGGTGATTAAGCTATACCACCTTGTATATTACAACTGCCACAGATCTCTTTTGACCGAAACGGAGTTTGTATTGTGTCATGTGGCGCCACAACAAAAGCTCGTAGATCTGAGAGTAAGGGCTTCTTTCTCACTCACACCACAATAGAACAATTTTTTAAACCAACACAAACTATAGAGAGTGAAGTTACCTCAGTTCAGCATTCACATCAGCCTGAGCATCAGTTAGGAGCTCGTATCACAGCAATTTTACTTCATGAACCCTGCCAGGGTGTAAAGCTGTCCAACCTCCTATATAAACAAAGCAAAAAACGTCAAACGTGATGCACATTCAAATCTATCATACCTCTCTGGGAAATTGATCTGTTCTATAGCTGCTTAATATGTTTCTTTACAATACCTCAGCATGCCCCTTATATGATGCTATCATCAGTGGAGTTGATCCATCCTGTACACAGCAGCGTCACACAGTCATTGACTTTAAAGATAAATTTTACTTTGTGGCATAAACTGCAATCTGCATGCGCTCAAGAAGTAGTTCAACACATTCTGTATGTCCTTCTCTGTGCCAATATAGAGAGCTGTCTGACCATCATAAAGCAGAGCCATAGATGGTTTTATTTAGGGACAAGTACATTCTAGCTTACCTCAAGCCTGTATGTTTATCTTTGCTTGTGCTTTTATCAACGCTTACACACATCAACTCTAGCCAGTGACCGAGCAGCTAGGTGAAGAGAGCCCAGCCATTCTATTGATAAATAATGCATCAACACCCATCTTTATTCATACAGGATTAAAACACATACCTTATCTTTAATGTCACTCTTTGGCGTCTTTTCTTCAATCAAAATTTGAACAATATCAGCATATCCTTTGAATGATGCCACCATAAGTGGAGTCAGCCACTCTATATTGCAAACGAAAAACCCTTTTAAAAATAATTGTGCAACTAAAATTTATAGTCACTTGGACACAAATCTACAGAAGCAATCTGCTCACCAGATTCTGAACTCTATTTGTTAGTCCATAGAGGTGATGCTTCAGAAAGCTCTACTTCTATAAATATTGTACAATACTCTTCACAAAGTTTTTTGATGCGTAGAATACCTGAATATTGTGCACCGGTAGTACAGGTCTCAGCAGCAATTGTACTATTCTCTGCTCTTGCCATAAGCGATCAGATCCCTTACTGGGAGGAACACCTCTTAAGTATGGCAAAAGACCAGCAAATGTGGTCCAGCAAGATCACATGACCATCTTCATAGCAACCGCATACACTAGAGCTACCTGAGGGATGTGGAAGTAGCCACAAACCAGCAGTGTGATGTCATCAGTCTTGACAGAGAGTGAAGGAAGGCCGATCGACTTCAGCAGTAATTCTAATAGTCGTTGGAAGGGTTGTACTCTTGTGTTCATCGATACATTCAAAAACATTGGAGTAAAGTGCCTGGAGCTCAGAAAGGGGGCAGGAGTGGTATTTGTAAAGAGATGATTGGTGGATCACTCTGTTCCTGTCTTCAGGAAGACAGTATATCTGTTCAGATATAACGAAGCTGGAAAACCTGCTTCGAACTTGAGCAAAATCTTTCATTGCTTGGATAGCAGCAGGACACTCACATCTCTGAGATATCATTAGAAGGTGGGGACTGAAGCAGTTCCAGAGGCTGGCTTGTGCCTTGAAAACCTCGGGTGTATTTGCAGCATTCTTGTGTGTCTCTGGATCGACAACTGAATGGTACTTTTTTCCAGGCAGAGTTAGTTGGGATAGAAATGACAAAAGCGTTGAAGAGAAACAGGAAATGTCTCGAATGATTTAATAACAACTTTAGTGCCAGCAGGAACTGATGCTGGAGGTCCTTGATTTAAGTTCAAGTTTAAGATGTTCTGAAGAGAAGGATAAAATCTTTGTAGAACATCTGTCTTTCTTTTAGAACACTGCTTTTCAAGATCTGTGATAAAATGATAATTTTATTGTGTAACTCACTCTAATAGAACCTACCAGACTTCAGCTTTTCTGCTAGTTGTTTTTGTTTAGGACACCTGTTGTCTCAAGGATCTGACAGAGGCTGAAGAGAAAATGTGGCGATCTCTCTGTTTGCAACTCAACTAGGGCAACTGCTGCTGAGAGATTCTGTGCATACTGAGATGTGTGGATCTCGATATCTTCCACATTCTCATGAATAACAAGTCCCTTCTCTGCCATCTGATGAATTATGGTCTTTACGAGTTCAGAACTGGTAGAGTCTTCACGAGGTTTCGCTGTACGACCTTTGTACCGTAAATATCTCTCTCTGCTTCTAAAAACTTTTCATCTTTTTAAATATAATTATATTGCAAGAGTAATAAAATTAAGCACAATATAATAATTAAAATACATACCTGATGCAAATCGCAAATTGGAGAGAAACGCTATGCTGCATGCCAATGGTAATAGCTCTATCAGATACATAGATGACCTATAAAATCAGACCTTTAGTTTCTGTGAGCTTGAATTGCCATCTCACGTTAGGCACCAGGTTCATGCCTCAAAAATACTCTGCAAATGATTTGTGAGAATACGCTTCATTCTGCAATTTTAACCAGAAGCTCAGTCGGTGTCATGTTCTACCCATCAAACGTTTCATACGTAGCTGTTCAACGCATTTCTCCAGTTAACTATTTCGACTGCGAGCTTGCGTGCACATGTGCTACTAAAAGTTATTTACTTCCTTCGTTACAACTGAAAGTTTCATTAGCAGACTCTTCTTTCATTTCGGCCTTTCTTCTAGCTGGCTGCTCCTTCTCCTCAACCAGTTGGCTTTCTGTACATTCATACCGAAACTCAGCATCAGGTACTCGTATCCTTCTCTTGTAGAAAAGTGTCGCCCAAGAACTCGCTTTGCTGATTGAGAGTTTTGATCTCTCTTTCAAGCTTACATATTTCTAGATCCCGCATTGCTAATGCAGATCTTGTTGGAAGCAAAGATTCTATCTGTTGATGGTACTGGGACTGACTGTCAATATAATTTTGGGCAGACATCAACTCAACTAGCTGCTGGCAGATATTTCCTGCTGTGGGCCTCTCCCTTTTACTATCTTGGATACATTGTAAAGCAAGCTGTCGCAGTGGATGAGTGAGGTATACTCGATGGAGATTACTTTTGCGCCGCTCAAGTTCTGGTACACGAACAAGGATTGGTTCTTTGTACTTTGGATCCTGAACAACAGTGTGTGGGTCAGTTGGGGTGGGAAAACTCTGAGTTATAATTTGAATGATTAGTACTCCAGTGGAAAATACATCTATCTTGTCTGAGTAGACTGGTACAGGTTGCAAAACCTCTGGAGGCATGTAGGCAAGAGTACCAGGACATGCAGTTTGCTTGTTTCGAGACATACGAGGGTTAATTTCAACCATCTTAGACATGCCAAAATCGGTTACCTTAGCCCGAGAACCAGCAGTCAAAAGAATGTTGTTACTAGAGATATCTCTGTGTTGAATTCCATTGGCGTGGAGATAATCAATGGCCAAAGAAATATCATAGGTTATGTCAACCTGAACATGATAAGCAAGCGGCTTTTTTAAGCTCTCAAGCAACTGAGTCAGGCTCTGCTCCATTAGTTCCATAAGAAGAATTGGTCTGCGGTGTCGAGGGTCTTCCAAGACTCCAAGGAACTGCACAATGCATGGATGCTTGAGCTTGCGTAACATCCTGCATTCTTCTTTAAAGCGGGATATAAACTCCACAACATTTGGGTCATTTGAAGTGAAAAAGGTGTGGTGTAAAATTTTAGCAGCACAGGGGAGGTTGTCAAGCTTTGCCTTGACCACACTTCCATATGAGCCAGATCCAATATCCTTCGATGGCTGGATCAGCACTTTCCTGTACCCACATGATCTAGTGAGACTTCCTTCCCTCTCAGTAACCGGACTGCTATCTTCAGCAAAACCTTCAGCTTTTATATCAATCTCAAAATCTGGTGGTTCATTTTCCAACATGGCTGTACTGAAAAACCAATACACCCTGAGTAACATCACTAATTATTAAAGATCATTAACATTGTGCTGTTAGTTCATCATTTGCTATGCATGACCATGCCAACCCTCGGCACTTTTTTAATGGCTATGGGATAACATGGCATAAACTCCCAAACGTTTCTTCCTGTTAGCCTCTCCACTGACCCTCTTAGCATTTGCCAACTGTTGATCTGATTACTGGCACACCAGCACGCTGGAGTGATAACTCCGACACAATGCTAAAAACGTTGTGACAAGCTAGCAAAACAGAAGATCACCGGAGGCACCCGTTCTCGCACACTCGATCCAAACCTTCCCATCAGCCTGGCTGCTGATACCTCACCTTACGGGACTGTCATTGGGCACTACCGGATGGTACGGATCGCCCTATAGCCTATGCCTCACGCACAAATTTAGTTTAGTGTCAACAACGAGGTAGCAAGACGAAGGCAAAAACTCAACTACACCATGTGTAAATTGTGGTTGGGCAACAATTAGCTACAGCACTTAAAGATATCTATCTTAAGATAACAAAAATGCTGGTCGACAAGCAAGCCACTAAAGGGCATACACATAGCTAGCAAGATCTCCATGAAAATCATTACAAGTAGTAGCCACCATTCTGGTCACCAATATATCTGATTGAGATGATGAAACACTGCAGTGCGGCATCTGAATATCCCTAGTGTGCTCACACGTTAAGTGACAGGTTACTATTGCACTGCACAGTGCTTGCATTGTGTTTGCGTTTGTAGACTTTTCAGCTGAATCTTCTGAGTTGCCCTGGTAGCTCAGTGATAGAGAACAGTCTAGAGAACAGAGTGTCATGGATTCGAGTCCCACCTAAGGCAGCTCTTGGAAAAAAGTGTTTTCCTATATAGGTGTAGTTAAATATTTGCCTTGTGTTTACACACATGATAATTATTATCACAACAGTTTTGTATAATATAAGCTTAGTTGACAACAGCTTAACATAAAGTGCAGAAACTGAAGGAATTAACGGGACACTCGAAGTTTTCCCAGAGACAGATTCAACACCAGTCAGAAAACAGAAGTTCAAATTTAAACCATTAAGTGCCACCATTGCAGCACACGCATTCACATTCGTCATAACAGCCTGAATTACCCTAAACCAATACCTTCAAAGGAGAGGGACCAGGACATTATGGAGCACCTGTTGACTCCATGATGAAAAGTGGCTCATATACTTTTGCATTAAGCCAGATTCCAAACGTGGAGCTACTGTCCATTTTTTTGGAGAGTTTCAGAAACCAAAGAAAGTGGGTTTGAGCGATCGTAGTAACATGGTGCATGTGGTTGATGGGGGGGATGTGGGGGTGGAATTCTAGGTGAAAGACCTAAGAAACCCTGCGATGCACTGGGTGTTGCTGGTCTCTAAACTTGCCTGCAACCTGTTCTTCAGTTAAAACTATTTTGTGCCGTTCAAGTTCATGAGGCTTATAGACAGAAAATGTGGCACGGGTTCACTAATAGAAAGGTGTTACATGGTGGACTGTCTTCTGAACAGATTTGATTGGTAGGCAGAACAGAGGAATATAATTTTAATAACGAATTAATCCTGAGGAGTCGTGCTATTTACTTCCTGAATTCTGAGAAGTTCAAAGAATCATTGAATCATTGGATGACTGTTGTAAACCAAGAATTCAGGTGCTACTTTGAAAGAAAGAGAAATCCAAACAATTCCTAACATTCGAGCAGAATGGAGAAAGAAACCCCTTCGAATCAGTTAGGTTCATAGCTGTTTTAATGTTTACCCAAACTGAAGTTGTGGCCATTGCAGCCAACAGGAAGCAAGAAGACTCAGAAGTTTGATTATCAGAGAGTTAGACATTCAACAGTGTTCTATCACTGAGATGTATATAATGTAAAGAGAAGGTTAACACAGCTGTATAATAAACAAAATATTAAATACAAAACAAATTAGAAATAGAGGCAGACGAGCTAAATAAGAGCAATCTAGACAAAGATTACTGCCTGTTACCTAAATAGTTATCTAGATGGGACACTGATGCAGCTATTATATGTCCTATAGCTACATTATAGCATGGCATGTATCCCAATTGAAAGAGTATTGAAAAAAGCTCTTGGGGAGTAAATTTGCCACGGAATGGAAAGAAGGGGAAGATTCCAAGTTACACAGATTCCCTATTACGTGTCTTATACTACTATGCCTGAAGCTTGTTGCCTACTAACTGCGTGCAAAAGTTACATTAGAACAACCCCACATTTTTGTGTTGTAGAAACATGGTTGTCACCTGATATTGCTGTCAATGAGCTTCAGATGTGTGGCTACCAACTTGTCAGACTGGACAGTAACAGAAAGGGTAGAGGGATTTTGATGTTGTTTTCTTTCACACCTCAATTATATTGTACATAGCTTCTCCCTTACACAGGTCGTGTCATGCTTTACTCAAGTCCATCCCAATGGCATATGGTTGATTGATCTAGCCTTCCTTTCAGACTCATCAAAGCTCTTCAGGTTTGAAACAATTAGTACCTTGGGTTCTTCGGATCACCATGGAATATCGTTGATACTGAATGAGCACCCAAGTCGTCGCAATGGTCGACACAGACTTGTGTGGATCTACAGTCAGGCTGACTTAGGCCAGGCGCCTAATCCATGAGACAGACTGGGATAATCTCAAGGGGACTATGATGTCATTAAGCTAATAATTTAGGAAGTGTAATGCTGCCTTTTTAGAAGGGCTAAAAAGTCTGGAAAAGCCTCAGATGAAGCTAAGAACTGAAAATTACGGGGGGAGTTCTAAAATGTTCTGCACTCTTCCAAGAGGACTTCGCTCTTCCAAGGGATTTGGCTGATGATTGAGACGACCCGCACTAAAAACCTAGGACCAGTCAGTTGTGAATGTATGAAGCAAGCAGTGGTTGATTTATCAACTTTTTATATAGGCAGTTATGCACCGGAGTCTCGTCTCTTGGACTCTCCAAGGAGTTCACAGACCACACACGAGTAACTCGACAGCATAGACCAGCCCAGTATATAGTAACCCCTGCATGTGTACGGGTGCAGTGCATCTGCGCATGTCTAGTATCATTGTATGCAGACAGTTTGACAAGTAGAACTTGAACGCCTTGGTGCTATGGTTGATATTTTGAGTGCCTTACTTCCTAGGACACCACCCATTATTTTTCCTAGGACACACACCTGTGGTTGTATCCCCATGCACAGATGATGAAACACAGCGTAGCCATGCCACAAAAATGTTTAACTTGGGTGGGGTATAATAAGATTCATAGCCTCACCCTAATTCCTATTAGTTACTCCTACAGTACTACGAATGTGCTGGTATGGTGTCATGTAACAATCTTTTATAATGCAGTAAAGACGGCTATGAAGCAATAACGATAATATACGTTATAATAACGCTAATGTACACACCAAAATTCCTCTGCCCACGCGCAGCTATTCACATCTCCAGACCCCACAAGGGAGAAAGGCTAGCCTGCTTTACATTTCACTGTGTGGCGTCTAAGCTGATGAGCATCAAGGCTTTCAAATGCCTTCAAAGGCAAAGCTTCCTACTTTTAGCGAAATTCAAGAACAGCACTCAAACAGTAAAACTCATGCAAAACATGACTTCGCCTTCACCAAACTAAAGTGTCCTCTGATGTGTCTATTCAGCATAAAAACGCCAGTTTTTGCATCATATGCAACAAAGTATTATTTCTCTCCCCTCAAAATCGCTGTAAATCGTACCAGACCCTTTCTCCCCTGAGAGTTTTGTTTGGAGGTAGCATGCAGTTAGCTTGAGCCATTCCATATCCCCAAAACTATGATACAAAACCATTTCTTATGCTTTCCCGTGCACTTTAAAGCTCTACTTTATAGACTCATACCCCGCCCATTATCATTATTATAATATTATATATTTTTGCTTTTGCCCACATTATTGGGCATGCGTATACTTATGCATTTTACCACCTGGGGCTGCTGTTTTGGAAAGTAACTCAGCCTCTCCATTCTCCACCCAGTAAAGAGCACAACTCGCATTGTAGAATACCTGCTTTGGGTGCATTGTGGGTATCTACGAGTTTAATGGGAGTGCCCAGAACAACCTACTATAATAATTATAACCCTCCTCTCAGGCTGTCGCCTCGTTACGTACGCACGCCTATACCACTATAGCCATCGTGCTATACGAAAGCTAGTATGCTGCGCGTGTGCAGTCCCAGGGTTACCCTCGTTAGCCTCGCTTGAAAATTCGATGCATAACCACCTGGACCTTTTCAACTAAATATAGTATACAACTGAACATAGCTAGAACTCACAGGTCAATCTCGGCAGATCCACCAACGAAAACGCGTAGCTACCGGCAGTTCTCGCTGCAAGTCGGGGAGTTATGAGGAGTTAGATATCAGCAGGCTGAAATAGGTCAGTGCGTGCTTGCGCTTTTATTCACCGTACCGTGCGCGTCGGGTTTGGATACGGCCCTCTCGCGTGCATACGGAGTCACAGCCAGAGTCAACAATGAGGAATTAGTAATAATGATGACAAACAATGCCGTAATAAGCTATATATATGAAAGGTAAAACAGTACAGGAAGACTTTGTATGCTGAAGTTACACTTGGAATGTAAGAATGTCTGGTCATAATCTGTCCCGGGGCAAAGTCTACAGAAGATCAATAGAAAAGTATGTCTCGAGCTGTACGTAGGCTGCTGAGAAATGAAACTGCCTTGTGGGAAACACAAGTGTCCCACAGCGAAAAAATTTGAGTTTCGGGATAGGAAACTTTAAGGATACTAAAGACATGCTATGTGTTTGTACCCCCACCATTTCCTTTCCCATCGTCACAGTTTGAAGGATCGCAAAGGCTTGCAGATATTGAATATTTTATGTTGCACACTATCTCATTGCCTGGAGCCTCCGAGCCTTCACAACATCTCCTTGCTAGTGTAATGTGGCCTATGGTGCATCCAAATCGGCACCACTATGGAAAGCCGGTGCAGGTTTGGTGCAAAGAAATTTACGAACCGCACATTATTAACAAAATATGTTTAGCAAACAGTATATCATCCCGTGCCATCATATCATTTGAAAGACTGCACAATGAGTGTGTTTGTGTTGCTATTCCTTTAGTATAGTAGTTACACAACAGCAACAATCAGCTAGCTAACAGTTACAGCGGTGTGTGTATGTATTGTCATGCCTTACTTAGAAGACAAGCGAAGTTTGTTACTCCAGAAACATGAAGAGTTGTTACATTTCCTGTACAGAAATTATCATTAAACATGAAGAGTCATTACATAGAAATTATCATGTTTCCACTTTTCATGAAATGTGATGGAAATGTCAAATTTCTAAAGGAAATGTAGCTACTAGGAAACATAAGCACACATTTCCTATATGAATTACTGTGAACAAACACCAAGGAAACTTCCAATTTTTTGCTGTGCATGTCAGTAATTTGAGTTCGGGTTTTGGCTCGGTATAATTATACTGGCAAAGCCTTGTGGGTATGAATCTCATTACAAGCGCTGCGCCTGAGCAAAGCCTTGTGGGGATGAATCTCATTAGTTCAAAACCACAAGTGCTGCGCTCAACTTAGCCTTTATAAACTCGTGGTGCCAGAGAGAGAAGTTGTGGTATGCTCTGCTGATGAGGGCCAACAAGCCGAAACAGCTGTCCAGAGTTCCACATTTTTTTTCTCTTGGCATCACATGGTGTATTTTGTTCATGTGTATGCACTGGCAGGATGTGGGTGCTTGCTGGCTTCATTGCCACGGCCCAATCCGTTATCAGTAATTTGAGTTCGGGTTTTGGCTCGGTACTGGCAAAGCCTTGTGGGTATGAATCTGATTAGTTCAGAACCACAAGTGCTGCGCTCAACTTAGCCTTTATAAGCTCATGGTGCCAGAGAGAGAAGTTGTGGTATGCTCTGCTGATGAGGGCCAACAAGTCGAAACAGCTGTCCAGAGCTCCACATCTTTTTTATTTTGGCATCACATGGTGTATTTTGTTCATGATCCATTGATGAAGTCGACAAGCTTCCAGCATGAGGTGGCAGGTTTAGCAGTTGCAGCACGTCCATCATAGCTCATGTCCAACATCTTTAGACAAACCTGGCTGGCTTGAAAAGACTCGAGAGCTTCATTATGTTTCTTGTTGGATTAATCCCATAGCTGAGCAGCATACTCTAAATGTTGGATTCATGTCAGATAAGTGTCGAGGTGTCAGCCCAGCTAGGTATAGAGTTCGGTGTGCAGCATACCACTTTATTATAGACAAAAGTTTTTTGATATATACACTCGCTATTATGTTCAAACCAGGAGATCCGTTGGTTCACTGTGACTCACAGGAAGCAGTAGCTCTCAACTTGTTGAATTTGGCAACATATTATATCTTGTGGTAGTGTTTGTTCACAACAGGACAGTATCTGGTGCAAGAGTGGATTCTGTGACGTGTGTGGACGGTTTAAACTGCGATTAAAGTGCAATCGATGTGTTTGTAACTACAGTACTCTTACGCTAAGAATTATTGGAGTAAGAGAGGCCTACTAGCACACTAATGTGTAGTTGTTTCCATTCCATGTTTAGGATAAATGTCTAGTGAACAGGGTCAGTGAATGGTTCAAACATTCACCATAACAACTTAACCACACCAGACTCATAAAACCTAAAAACATGATTCAGCTGCTACAGCGTAAATCAGCGATAATAAGTACTGTCAGTTCAACTCCCAGCAGTGCTGTGAGGCAAGTGAGGGAAGTGGAGACACCGAGGTACCCTGACAACCACTATAGATATGGCACTGATGATGGTGGTGGAGGAACTGCAGAGCTTCTGCTCTACCTCCAACAAAGGTATGGTTCCACGAGCTCTTTCAGCGGTAGCTACAGGGCTGATCGTTGGGAGCTTGGGTGCATTCAAACATAATCAGCTGTTTGTAAATACACATTATTGGCACTATCACTTGAAGGCAGTCGATTCGGGAAAATATTTACTTTAAGGGTAGATAAAGGATGGCTCAAAGCAGCAGACACACAAAACCACCATTTGTGCACCTAGAATCAATGTAAAATGGGGATGGTGTCAAGTAGCTTTTTGTGTGTAACCACCCCTTGTTAACCCTCGGCGCGTATGGGCAGCGAGGGTGCAGTTGGTTTGTATGTTTGTCTGTCTGTGTGTCGACGCTTATTCCGGCACTAGAGTGAACGATCAGTGGTCGGTCACCAGCAAGAGAGAGGGCCGAGGCTAGATCCAGCCATATACACTGATAGCTAGTACAAGTATCTGTCCACTGTCAAAATATTTCCCGCTCACCTATCTCCTAGACGGAGCGGTTGGCGCACGAAGTCGACGTCCGAATACACAAAACGTCGGACGAAATAATGGCTTGTCGGACACCCCTCGTTTCTTCTACAAACAGAGGCGCACAAACCAAGCGAAAACATCAACGGGTACAACTACTTCCCTACTACCATCAGCGCTATCACGATCGCGAGCACCGCTTTCCAGTTCTGGCAACAAGCCCGTAATTCGGCGAGGTCACGCCCTCAATGATCGGACGCGCGTGCGCAGTTGATGCCTTCCACGTGTGTGGAAAGACCTGGTGTGTAGAGTGGATGGAGGTGCACATAAGGTGAGTGAGCGCCTGCTACTGCTACTATTTTATTTGTTTCTCCCCTTATCAGGTGTTTGTCCGCTTCGAAATGACAAAAATGAGTCAGTAAAGGTGCTCTTCTCGTGGATATGACGCATTTTTTTGCGAATGTTTAATAGCGCCATAAAAGCGTGAGTAAACGATCAGTGGTCGGTCCCCAGCAATCCTCGGACACCTTTGTAGAGAAAGATAGGCTAGATCCAGCCATATAGAGTGTCAGCAATCCTCAGGACATAATAATGCACATGTGCGAAAGTTGCGTATTACATGTTGCTAGGTGTTTGCTATTTATTTATGCATGATATAACACTCAAGAGGGTGCGACAATGAGAATATCCACACTATCCACTGTGGTTAGGGCGGGTAACTGAGGAATTCAACACAGAATACGAAGGTTCAGCAGCTGCTTTTTGCTGCTTGCGACTTAGTTGGCTACAATCCACCAAAGCGCGAGCTGCTTCCATCTCTGAGTGACGCGCGAGTCCCATCATGGTAGTCAGGCGATGCCACGTAGTTCCTGCTTGTTGCTCAACGACCTCCACGAGTACTGCCATTCTGGACGCCACCACATCGCTGTAGTCGTCACGGTTTAGCGGTGTAGCGTGCGTAGTGAGCGCTGTAGGACAATGCAGTCGGTACACAGAAAACGATCAACAGCAGAAAAACTTGCCGCAGACCTTTGCTGTCAGCCACTCCTGGTTCATGCACCTGTCCTACACGGTTTCTCTGATGTCCGTCACTCTCCATTATATTCGCCTGCCCTGGGTTGTTCTGCTGTATTTCTTACTTGGAAGAATGTGGCCACCGCTTTTTCGCACGTGCGGGATTCTCCTAGCGACGACCAGTTAAAGGTGATAAACATTTTATTACACCTTTTGTTGTTATGTTGTGGTTTATCTGCCTGACTCTCTGAGGGCATGTAACACCACTCCAAAAACGCTCGGTGCTGAATGCTGAAATGGCCCCCTGCCCTACCATTGCAACCGTGGAACAATGAAACTTACATGCATATCCGCTGAAATAAAGCCGCTACTTGGCAGTTTTGCGTCGATTGCTTGGTGGATGCACTGGTGCACGTAGCCTCGCTGAGCCAAATCTGCGTGCAAGAGACCCGTTGCTCCATGTAGGCACACACGTTAATAAACACTGGTCTCGTTTAAACGTCGGGTCTAGGAAGTTGGTAAGAAAGAATGCCTGGGCGTTTATTCGAGTATATGCGGCACATAGTGTCGTAAATTTCACACTTTATACACTTGCTTGCGCTGCTCAGAATGGCATTGCACTCTTGTCCAACTCGCATTGCACAAGACCCTTCCGCTGATGATTCACTACAAGAAGCAAATAAGAGACTAATTTTTTACTCAACTTTAGATGCTTCGATCAGTGCCCTTGAAGGATAGAGTTTTTCGCAGCAGTGACTGTAGTCGACACGTTCCGTTATCTTTATCTGGTGGAGACGTTGGGCGTTCATCTCGAACACATAGACTGTGGACGCAGGAGCAAATGTATGGTGCAATGAATTCTGTTGTGCGTGATGGGGTGAGCATTCGGAGAGCAGCTCAAGAATATGGTGTCCCAAAATCATCACTCGGTGACCGGCTGAGTGGTCGTGTTTTGCCTGATGCGCAATGTGGTCCTGCTACCTATCTCTCACCAAGAGAAGAGGAAGAATTAGTGATGTTCCTCACCCGCTGTGCCTCAATTGGGTATGCGAAATCTCGCAAGGAAGTTCTAGCTTTGGTCCAAGCTGTTCTTGAGAGCCGTGGCCACCAGAAGATGGTCACTAATGGATGGTGGGAATCATTTCGGCGCCGACACCCTAACCTTACTCTTCGGACCTCTGTTCCTCTGTCATTGGCACGTGCCAAAGCAACTGATCCAGAGATGTTGGGTCGCTATTTTGACCCTCTTGAGCAGACACTCCAAGACAACCAGCTTGAAGGAAAGCCCGGTCTACTGTTTAATATGGATGAGAGTGGCATGCCACTCGATGCGAAACCTCCTAAAGTAGTTGCTCCAAAAGGCATAACAGTGTCGGCTATTGGATCTGGAGATAAAACACAAATCACAGTTGTAGCATGTGTTTCTGCAGCAGGCTATTGCATACCTCCCATGGTAATATGGGATAGGAAAATCCTTGCTCCTGAGTTAACAGTAGGGGAAGTCCCTGGAACTATCTACGGCCTCTCCAAGAGCGGGTGGATGGACATGGAACTCTTCCACATGTGGTTTTGCAATCATTTTTTGCACTATGCACCAGCAGCACGGCCGCTTCTTTTGCTTCTTGATGGTCACTCGTCCCACTACTGTCCGGATACAATCCGTCTTGCTGCCAAGGAGAAAGTAATTCTCTTTACGCTCCCTCCCAACACTACACACTTGACTCAACCACTTGATAAGGGGTGTTTTGGCCCCCTAAAAACTGCCTGGAGAGAGGTGTGTCATCAGTTTATAACATCAAATCCCGGTAGGTTGGTTACTCGATACCAGTTCTCGAGACTCTTTAACAAGGCGTGGATGAGAAGCATGACCATCAGCAACATCTCTACAGGATTCAAGATAACAGGGGTGCACCCAATCAACCGAGATGTGTTTGCTCACGTAGAGGACTCCTCATTCGTTAAACAGAGCGGACTGGCCTTTATTCCACTTTACAGCCCTTCACCAAAGCGTAAGGTTTGTGATCGTGGGAGATTCCATGAAGTGAGTCAAGAAACTAATGACGGCACTCATAGGCATCACACACGGCTTAGTGAGCAGTCTGATCCTCTTCCCTCTATGTCTGTTTGGTTACAGTCACCGCAAACCTCAGGTGTTAGCCGATATCTGCAATGCCCTTCTCCTTTAAACAGGCAGATAAACTACCACCCAAAATCTTGTGGTCGTGTACTGACTAGTGCAGAAAATCTCGCTATAATGGCTGAGAAAGAAAAGGCAAAACAAGAAAAAGAGAAGATGAAGGCTGAAAGGAAGAAATTGAGGGAGGAAAGGAAACACATTAGAGCTGTAAAAGGTATTAAAAATGTGAGGAAAACATGTCAGCATGTGCTAATGTTATGCAGGTACAAAAGGCCCAGTTGCTCCGTTAGAACAACCAAAGAATGGTAGGTTTATTTCAAAGTTAAAAAATGTTTTATTGTACATGTGGCCGTACAGAGGTGGAGACAACTGGGAGAGATCTTGGCTTTTCATGCGAAGAATTGGAGATTTTCCAAAGGAGATACGAAAATGGTTATGACCTTACTCATGACAACCGTTACAATTTGTGGCTTAAATCTCTGCAGTGTAAGTTAACACTCTAGTTAATGCTATTGTACCAACTTGTCCCACTGCATGCTTGCGCAGCAAGGGTTATGGTACTTTGGGAGTGTCGAATTCCGTCTGTCTGTTTCCACGTTTTCTGCCACCACCTGCAAAGAACAAAATCAACGGATTCGTGCATGTAAACCAAGTGAACAAGCCAAAACGATACTGATGTAGGTAGTAGTCTACGAGACTGACAAGACAAGTAGCTGGATTGTGCGGCCTGTGGGTTTGCGGTACTTCTGCACTCTTGTGTGTTTGCACCTACATTATGCTAAGGGTTTACTGTTCTAGTTCCTATAATTTTTCCTGTGCTGTGCATCGTTAACCCTCGGTAGGCATGCGCAGCAAATGTTACAGTACTTGGTCCGTGTGTCTGTGTGTGTGTCTGTCTGTCTGTCAACACCTATTCTGGCACTGGCTACGAGGTTGCCTATGAGCTGTACTAACGGGTTCAGAACTATGCAGGCCTGAATGATAAACTAGTGATTTTCCTGAAACCACTGCATTCTAGAGGTATGCCTTAAAAACAAGCGTAAAAGCCAATATACATATTATGCATAATCGCACCGGCTTAACTCTAAACGATGCGACTCGCTCTGTGTACCTTGAAGGCACAAGAAATCACAATGAAGGGCATGTATCGACTCCCGCATGCTATCTACTACTGTAGCTAGCCCGTGCCAGACTCTCCGCGAGCTACTAGCGGGAGACCACGAGTGAATACATGCTAATATCCCAGCCCATCGATTACCAATACTGCACGTACATTGTGCGCCGAGGGATTGCACTTCAGTGCTTTTCATTATACTAGCATGTAATCTCATGCATAATATTATTGTCTCTCACACAGTGCATTCCTACCCTGGAGCCACAGACTCTGGTAAGTCAGGGCACACTCAATATGTGTTTGTTTATGCTAATAGTGCAGGCTGCCCAGAAGAACACTTTGACGGTGACACCCTGTCGCATGGGAGAGACGATGATGAAGGTATACACATGTGTAGTGATACGTATTTTATGTTTGTTTATGAAACCATTTCAGGAGGCCTATCTGGAGCTCATATAAAATCAACTCAGCTTACTCGTAAGTGTGTGTATTGTTTTACTGCTTGCAAAACTATTGCCTTCCCTCTGTTTCTCTTTTTGTATAGGTGAGGACACTGACTGTTTCCAAGGTTTATGTAACCATCCCAGAGCAAGGAATTGGGTCCAGTGTGAGCGATGTGGCAGATGGTTTCACTGTGTCTGCCAAAGTGTGACACTGAAGAAAGCAAAAGATGTTGCCTTTTGTTGCTGTTAACTCCATATGATGTTTGGCTTAGTGCGCATGCGCGTCCGAATATTGAGGGCGTGACCTTGCCGAATAACGGGCTTGTTGCCAGAACATGGAAAGCGGTGCTCGTGATCGTGATAACGCTGATGATAGTAGGGAAGTAGTGGGTGACCGACCACTGATCGTTTACTCTATATACGTAGCTAGTAACGATGATGGTTGTATATACGTACTTCTGAGTTCTCGCTCCGCTCACCCAAAGAATGCCAAGCATTTCCACTAGTTATAACTACACTGCAAGGGTCGAAGGTTAGTCGCGCGTGTCAGGGGCCGTATATACACGCGGCGTGTACGGGATTGACGACCAATACCATCCGGGTGCCAGACAAATAGCCACTTGACTAGACTTGGTTATAAAAAGCGCCCCGAGGCGTTGTGATCTGTCGCTCTAAAAAGGCCAATCGGCGCTCTACAAAGGTGAAGGCAGAAACGCCGCCGCAATACAAAGTAGTCGCCAGAAAACATTATTCGACCGAATCATCTCCTGTAAAAGAAAATTGTCGTCGAGAGTAACTGTTCGAAGCCCGAAATTCTAACTCAAAACCATGGAACGAAAAGTAAAATGATTTTGGATTGCTAAGCTAAGCTTAGTTAGCCCGTTTCTGTTCTTGCAGGGTGCTATAATTTGGTTTGTGCTCTGGTTTCAGTCTTTTTGCTTTGTGACAATCGGTGAGAGGTTACACTTACATCATTACCTACTCATACCCGTTGTACAACATAGACACATTTAGCTTTGTTACACTTACAAATTAAATAAACATAGAGTTAGTGTTCAATTGTTGGTTGTCTGACATGTATGTAGTAACGCAGGTTACAGTCTGTAGGTTCGTTTGGGTATAATTGGGTGTCAGGGTGGACCAATGAGGAATGAGGTTGTAAACAGCATCCCTGTAGTGGTTGCTCCCAACAGGAAGTGTCTGGTGCAAAAGTGCATTCTATGGCTGCGATGTGTATGGTTTAAAAGGTTTACACAGCAGTTCATATGACTCATCACATAGCTACCTGACCTTGTGTAAGGTATGTGATCATGTCTAGTCACCCCCTTTCAGTTACAGGAGAATGTTTAAGTAGCTACTGGACATGACCTCAAATGCTGCCTGTACATTAACAACCATTAAGAATAGATCAGACATCAAGTTTTACAGGAATTATCAGCTGATTCTCTATAAGTACACAGTCTTTCATGTTGGGAAACAACCTTATGGGGGAAGCAGTATAGTGTGCATGCAATGGTGTTCAGTGCACATGCTGAGTGAGCTATAGTAGAATGCTAGGCATTGTTGCGAGTGTTAGCGAACCAATAATAATTTTTTAAGAGAATTACTATCTTTGATTGTTTGAGTTCTGGGATAAGAGAGTGTGCCAATCCATACAATTACTGTGGTAGTCTAAGTGGACCCAACAGTTGACTTGTGTGGAATGGCCAGTGCCGATGTCCTGGAAATGCCTTCTATGACTGCTGCACATGTTTATGTAATGGCGTTTAATGAAAATTAGACGAAGTTAATGGGGGGGACATACCGTTGCTAGGCTGGGGGAGGTGGGGTGCCCCACCTCTGCCCACGGTGGCGCCTCCTCAGCGGCTCGCAACTGCGCATGTGCATACCGCAACCACGTGCAAACTGGGAAGCAACAGCAGCACGCAGGCAGTTCCCAGTGCTGAGTTACCGTCGCCGGCAGGTGGCGGGGCGGCGAGGACAGCGTGTTCCTCAGTTGTGCGAGGCCAGCGTGTGCCTCATTTTCTTTTCTATTCCCTCCCTCCCTACCCATTTTTCGCTCATTTCCATCCCCACCTTCGGCTATATCGCTTACTTAGCCAACTCTTATCTTTGCCCATCTCTTTGATGTGGCCTTCGTGCAAGGGTCATGGGGTGATAGGTCAGCCAGTGGCTGTAAGTCCCATGCTAATAAGGTGAAACCAAAGTTAAGTAGGGGGTTGTGCTTGGGGCAAGGGGCAATATTGGTTAGCCTGGCATTATGCGGGCTTACTGCGATCAGCCTGTTAGCATTATGATACGTCATAGAGCAGCGCCCCCATAATTATGGGGAACGAGCCATGCAATGTAGTTGCCCCCGCTAATTCGCAATGCTAGCGCCGCTGACCCTTGCACGATACCTCCAAACCAACCCCATTAGATAATGAGGGTTGTTAGGTGTGGCATTGGTGTAAAAGGTGGGCCCACACATTAAAAGCCCAACATACACGGTGCACTTTGCATCCAACTTTTGTCTCATAGAAGTCACATGGAAGTTGCACCATGTATGTTGGGCAGAAGTTGCATGGAAATAGAATTGTTGTCTATTCGACGCAACTTGTCTCATGCAACAACACTTTATCTCATGCAACTCATGCATGAGATATCTCATGTATGTCATGCATGTTGCATGAGATAAAGTTGCGCCGTGTGTGTTGGGCTTAAGAAAACTAAGAGGGCTAGCTAATCCAAAGGTTTATGAGCATGTACAATAAATAAGGGCTAGCTGTCGTGGATTATTAATTCAGGGTATAAATCTGTTTTTCAATAATGCAGCTGATACTGGCACTCTGCATCTATCATTGGGACTCCAACTACTGATGGAGACTCCGAGACAACTTACAGCTGTCTGGCATCTGACAACTGTAACTATGAAGTTCATGTCATTGGGAACTATGAGAGCAGTAATGGAAGACATGGGTTCTTTACAGAAAGAGTAGCAGGAGACACAGACGTGGTAGTCAGTGTCTCTGGAGAGAGTCTTCATCCTCTCATACTAGTTCTGACATCATATGAGCCAGTGAGGTGGAGACTGAGTGTCACTAGTGGAGTCACTATCGACAGAGTCATTCTGGTAATTACAAAGTCAAGACGTTATTTAGAGTAATCTACTGAGCCTATGGTGGTAACTTCTCTTCATTTAGAGTGGATACTATGCCAGTACTGTCACTTCAAGCCCCAGTAATGCTATTAGACAAACTGAGACACTGAGGGACCCTGACAACCACTATGGATATGGCACTGATCTTGGAGGTGGAAGAACTGCAGAGCTTCTGCTCTACCTCCAACAAAGATTTGGTCCTGTGACTTCATTCAGTGGCAGCTACAGAGCTGATCGATGGGAGCTCAACATTCACAGGACATCAGGTGTGTGCTTTCAAACCAAAGCAGATCTGTGTTCCTAAACATTGACATTACCCCAGGTTGCAGTTTCAACAACATGACTCGCAATTGTCCGTTGCCCTCTGCTCCAGAGAATGGAGCAGTGAATGTGACTGGAGTCCAACCAATTGTGGCCAGGTACAGTTGCAATGAGGGAACTCTGCTTGGACCTGAGATGAGGACATGTCTGGAAAGTGGCTGGTCTGGAGAGGAACCTTCCTGCAGAACAGGTATCAATATTAAAATATCTTTGTATTTGCAAATGCCAATTCAAACATCAATATAATTCACTCAAACAGAAATCTGTCAACTACGAGGTAGAAAGGCAAGCAAGTCAACTACACTCATGTTTTTTTAGAGCTGCCCTAGGTGGGATTAGAACCCACAACAATCAGTAGGCGAGCGCTCTACCAACTGAGCTAGCTACCAGGGCAATTCAGCTGCTAGGAGTTCAAAACGTTGAAATCTTACAACACAAAGGCAGACCTCAAACCACTGTGCTAGCAGTATACTCTCACTGAGTATATATGTAGGAGCAGACCGGGGTAATTAGACAACAACTCCAAACTGAGTATTGCATGTCTCGAGTATATAAGGCAAAGGCACTACAAACAAGTCAACTACACATGTACATGTTGTGTGATAAGGAAAGCAGAGGATGCTAAACCTGGACGAAA